CTGGACCATATCATTCCCCACGTGGCCCCGCCCCCGAGCCCCAGCTCCCGGCCCCGTTCCCCAGCCCCAGCTCCCGGCCCCGTTCCCCAGCCCCAGCTCCCGGCCCTGCTCCCCAGCCCCGGCTCTGCCTCTCAACCCTGCCTCCCAGCCCTGCGCTGAGGTGACTGGCCACCGGTTCCTCACCTGGCAGCCATCCTGTCTCCAGGCCTTCCTGTGGTGGTCCCAGAAGTGGCACTGCGTGGCGACAGTGGTGATCGTGTATGTCACGTGGCTTGGCAGCTCTTGCTCCGGGCTCTGCCTTACCACGGCCTTTATGTGGTAGGGGCCTGGGCCAAGCTGCAGCATTGCTGGGGGCAGCACCCAAGTGTAGTTGTCACCTTGGGACAAAGCATCAGTCGCACAGCTGGGTGGTAAAGAGCCCAGCAGGAGGAAGGGCCCACGCCATTGCAGGGGTGGGGGAGGGAGCGGCAGAGGCCAGGGCCGGGCGGAGGGCGGGAGCAGTGGGGGCCCGCACCAGAGAGGCGGGGGGCAGTGGCAGGGGTTCACACCAGGGCCGGGCGGAGGGCGGGAGCAGCGGGGGCCCGCACCAGGGCGGACGGGGGCAGTGGCTCGTGCCAGGGTCGGGGTGGGAGGGAGGGAGTGGCAGAGGCCAGGGCCTGGCAGAGGGCGGGAGCAGCGGGGGCCCGCACCAGGGCGGACGGGGGGCAGTGGCAGGAGTTCACGCCAGGGCCGGGCGGAGGGCGGGAGCAGCGGGGGCCCGCACCAGGGCGGATGGGGGGCAGTGGCAGGGGCTCATGTCAGGGATGGGAGCAGCGGGGGCACACCTGAGGGAGGCTGGGCTGCTGGGGGCCTTACCAGGGTGCTGCCCGTGGCCTGTGGGCAGGGTGGTGTTGAGGAGAGCGTGGGTGCTGTTGGGCGGGTGCTGGTAGCCCAGGTAGAGCTCGATGGGCAGGGGAACGTCGGGCAGCACACGGACGATCAAGGTGTCTTCCATGGATGTGACGTTCACCTCGACCACAAACTCCTCTGTGCTGACGTTGAGCCTAGTGGGGGACGTCTCTGCGCGCTCGTCTCTCCACAGCCGGATCTGCCAGGGAGCGCAGAGGCCTCAGGGCTCTCGGTGGTGGGCGCTCTCATAGCACCGGGCCGGGGGGATGCAGGCTCTGCGTGTCTCTGAGCTGGGCCCCCGCCTCGCAGCCAGGGTACTCCACACACTGCCAGGTGGTGCTGGGCCGTGGGCAGGGCAGGGCAATGGCCAAGTAAGCTGGAGACTGAAGGCACAGGCTGGCTTGGGGCGAGCTCAGCCCGTGGGGCAGCCGTACCCTGGGGCTCACAGCCACTCGTGTGACCCCAGCCATTTGGCAATGCAAGGCGGTGCCAGTGGGTTTGGCACTGTCCATCTCTCACATCCCTACACAAGTGCCAATGCTCAGAACTCATGCGACCATAGCGTGACCAGGTGCCTGGTTTTCAACCGGAAAGTCCAGTCGAAAAGGGGACCTGACAGTGTCTGGTCAGATCTACTGAAGACACCCAAAGTCCGGTTATTGCGGGTGGGGAGACGGGGAGGTGCTGGGTCATCACCTGCGCCAGCCCCTACTCAGCCGGGGCCGCCTCCTACCTGCTTTGGGTGGCTGTAACTCCCAGCCCTGGCTCCCCAGGCGAGGGGGGAGGGGAGAAGAGGAGAAAATGGGGGATGGGGACTTTGGGGGAAGAGGTGAGGCAGTGGTGGGGCCGCAGGGGGAAAAGGCAGAGCAGGAGAGATTCCAGCAATTCTGCTGGAGCGTTGACCGGTTTTTAAATATACCAAGTTGGCAACCCTACGTTCCTGGCATGTGCTCATGGAGATGGGGCTGTTGGAAAACCTGCCTGCACAATGGCATTTCCCAGGTGGTCCTGCTCCCCGGCTCTTGGCCCTGGCTCTCGGACCCACTCCCCGGCCCCAGCTTTCGGCCCCACTCCCCAGACCTGGCTCTAGGCCCCACTCCACGGCCCTGGCTCTCAGCCCTGCTCTCTGGCTCCCAGCCCCACTCCCCTGCCCGGCCCCGCTCCCCAGTCTCCAGCCCTGGCTCTCGGCCCCACTCCCCAGCCCCGGCTCTCAGCCCCACTCCCCAGCCCCGGCTCCCGGCCCCACTCCCCAGCCCTCAGCCCCGCTCCCCACCCCACACTTTCAGCCCCACTCCCCAGCTCTCAGTCCTGCTCCCTGGCTCCCGGCCCCACTCTCCAGCCCTGGCTCTCTGCCCCGGCCCCACTCCATGGCCCCGGTTCCTGGCCCCGCTCCCCAGCCTCAGCTCCCAGCCATGTGTAGGTGACTAGCTGCCCAGTTGAAACGCACCTCAATGTCCTCGGGTAAGTCCTGCACCTCGATAGAGTCCTTGTTGGCGGTGAGGAAGATGTTCCCAACGCTCCTGATCTCCTTCCCGTCCAGGTGCTTGAAGGGGTTGACTGCCAGGACTGTTACCTAGAGCACCAAGACCCTGAGCTGCTGGCCCCATTGCCACGGGACTTACAGCCCTGGGACGGCCCTTCCTCCGGGTTTGAGGGCAATGTGAGCAGTGGGCTGCACCAGGGGCCATGCCGGGACTCTAGCCCAGATCAGCAGGTCAGGAGGCTGGAGACCTGCCCAAGGGGTGCGCTCCAGGCCACACATTCCCTCTGGGGCACCTGGCAGTGACCACTGTCGGTAGACAGGATACTGGGCTAGATGGCCCAGTGATCTGACCCAGTACGGCCGTTCTTATGTTCTGTTCACACAGACACACTGGGCAGGGCACCAGGCTATGCGGGACGCCTGCAGAGGCCTCTGGGACCCAGCAGCTGAAGTGTGTGTGTGTATGGGGTGGGGTGTTAGGGTGGAAATGGGCTGTGACGTTGGCAGGCCAGGTGCCAGCTCTCGCCAAGCTCCCAGGGTCTCAGCTGAACGCTGGCGATTCCTTAGCTGGGAGCAGCCTGGCTCCCAGGGCTGTATAAAGATTAGAATGGGTTTAGTGTTTAGATTAGGGCTGTTGATTAATCACAGTTAACTCACGCGATTAACTAAAAAAAATTAATCGCGATTAAAAAAAATAATCGCAGTTTTATTCACACTGTTAAACAATAGAATACCAATTGAAATTTATTAAATATTTTTCGATGTTATTCTACTTTTTCAAATATATTTGA